GGGGGAGGAGGAGGAGGAGGAGGAGGAGGAGGAGAGGAGGAGGAGGAGGGAGAGGGGGAGGAGGAGGAGGAGGAGGAGGAGGAGGAGGAGGAGGAGGAGGAGGAGGAGGAGGAGAGGAGGAGGAGGAGGAGGAGGAGGAGGAGGAGGAGGAGGAGGAAGAAGGAGGAGGAGAGGAGGAGGACGGGATGAAGAGGAGGAGGAGGAGGAGGAGGAGGAGGAGGGGAGGAGGAGTAGCAGGAGGAGAAGGAGGAGGACGAGGAGGAGCAGGAGGGAACAGGCCCAGCCGTCTGGGGGCCCTCTCCGTGGAGTCAATAGCCAAAAACACGTTGTCGGAAGCTTGGGCCCCGAGGCCTCGAGGAGCTTAGGTATATGTTCTCCTCGGCGGGAGCTTGCAGGCGCTGGCAGAAGCAGCGCGGGGGCAGCCGGGCAGACGCCAGCGGAAGTAAAAGATGCCCCCCGAGAGATCTGCTCCGCGATCTCCCCCTCGCTCGACTCGTAACGCAGACGGCACGCGCGCGAGTCAACGTCGCGTGTGTTTGTTTGTTGTTGTTTTGTTAGCTGTTAGCTGTTTTAAAATGTCCCCCAAGAGATGGCCTTTTCGGGGAACCAGGGCTCCCTGAGCCCGCCAGCTGCGTCCGAGCATGCCGGCACAACCCTCACTCGCTCCGTGGCCCCACAGAGAGCGCCACCGAAGGCCCCAATGGGGGGGGGTTCATGTGCGGTTCCCAGCCCAATTCGGCACACCCCTCCCACGTTTCGTGGCCCATCAGAGAGCTCCACCGAAGGCTCCAATGGGAGGGGCCACGCAATGCTTCCCGCTCATGCCGACACACCCCTCACGCGTCTCGTGGCCCCACTGAGAGCGCCACCGAAGACGGCTCTCACAACCGAATTGCCCACAACTGCATACTCTTGGCCCTTGCGCCAGGGCCATTTGGGAACCAGGGTTTCTGGAACCCGCCAGCTGCGTACGAGGACGGGCGACCTCCCATCGCCAGACATACTCATAAGCACAAGACTTGAAGTAACGAGTGGGAGCTTGCGGACAGTCGGCCCGATCCCTGGCCATACCAGCCTTGCCCACGCCGACGGGCTAGCCCACCTCCAGGTCCATACGACCCAAACGAATCCACAAAGAGCTACGTCTGTCAGAGCTGGGTGAGCTGAGCACTGAGCGCACTGGAACCCAGGATGGCACCAAGATGCCTAGGGATTGGCCTGGGACGGTCTTGAAATGTTCGGGTACGGCTTGGGATCTTGACATGACATCGGGAACCAGGTGTAAGTTTGCTAGCGCCTGGGCGGTCTGTGCCATGAGCTTAGAAGTGAGGCTTGTGGTTTTGGTTTTGAGCAGGTGCCGTGTGCGTCTTGTCCATGCGATTCGATTGACGCTAGCGACTGTAATCTGCACGAGCGCGTCGCTAAAACGATGGCCAGGCAAATACGCGAGCAGCCGCCACTCCAGTGACGGCTGCTCATGTATTTGCCCAAAGGGCCATAGCATGCGGCGGTTTATGGATTTCGCCAAATACGGCACATGGGTAAAGTTTTCGGTGAGTAATCTGACTCGACAGGCGTCGAGACGCCAAGCTAGCTTGAGAAAACCTAGGGCAGCAGCGACCAGTCAGCAAGAAATCCCCGCGGGCCTCCGCAAGTTTCTGCGGCGTATGTCGTTGGCGGGTCCCCTGGGAAACACAGCCAGAAGCAGCGGCCCTGTGTCAATCCACTGCGTGCCGCAGCTGGCACCCCGCCGTCCCGCCACCCTTCCGAGCTTCCCAGGGGACGTCCCCGCGCCTCCCAGGTCCACTACTGGGTCGACGACGGCTGCCGTACGGAACGCGACAGCATCCCGCGTGACTACGCGGGGGCGTACGTACAAGAAGCACAGGCCGAGGCGTTTGCACGGTGCTGTGCGGATGACGGTTCGTCTTGCACGTCGCCTCAGAATTGTATCGCGGAGCAGCCCGGGACACATTTCGCCGCCGCGGCCGCGTGTCATGATCAGGGCATGCGTTTGTGTACGAGCCACGAGCTCTTATCCGAGGTGTGCTGCGGTACCGGTGGTTCTTGCGACAGCTACCCTATCTGGACGAGCAGTGCCGGGGCGACGACGCCGCAGGCAACGGCGCCGCTCTCCCTCTCTCTCTCTCTCTTTCTCTCTCTCTCTCTCTCACATTCCCTCATCCTCTTTTCCTCTCTCTCTCTCTATCGCTCTCTCTTGTTCAATGGTTTCTCTCTGTCTCTGGCTTTCCCTCTTTCCTTCTCTACTCCTTGTTGTTGTTTCTCTCTCTCTCTCTCGTTTGCGTTTTCTCTCTCTCTCTCTCTCTCTCTTTCTTTCCCACCCCCTCTCACACTCTCTCTCTCTCTCTCTCTATCTATGCATGCCCCGTTCACACACACACACCCTCCATCTCTCTCCCCCTCTCCCTTTCTCTCCCGGGGGAAAGGGGGGGAGGGCAGGGCTTCCCAACAGAGCCTCCGAGAGATCGCCGAGTCGTCCTGGAGCCGAGCTCCCGGAGAGCGGCCCCCGCGAAGCAGCTCCCCGAACTCGTCACTCCCAACCGTGGTGCTGGGCCCTCGCCTTGCAAAGGCAGCATAGCCTGCGTCCTCCTCCTTCGTCCTCCTACTTTTAAGTCGGGCCTGTCCCTCTACAGGGGGAATATTCAAAAATAGTCCAAAAATAGTATGGGGACTATTTTTTCAGTACTTTGGGGTATCTTTTTATGATTTTTTTTTTTGGGAATTTTTAATTTTTCGTCGAACATTCCCCTGCAGGGGGACACGCCCGGCTGAATCCTACTTCTCCCGCTCCCTCCCCCCCTCCCTCCCCGTCCCTGCACCTGCCCTCCGCGCGTCTCTGTCCTGCACACCCCACACGCAGTTCGCGTCCCCATCGGGAGCGCCGCCCAAGGCCCCAGCGGGAGGGTCCACGCCCGGCTCCCCGCCCATGCCGGCACGCCCCTCACGCGCTTCGTGGCCCCATAGGGAGCGCCACCGAAGGCCCCAGCGGGAGGGTCCACATGAGGTTCCCCGCCCATTTCGGCACATCCCGCACACACTTCGTGGCCCAATAGGAAGCTCCACCGAAGGCCCCACCAGGAGGGTCCACATGCGGCTCCCCGCCCACATCGACACACCACTGACGCGCTTCGTGGCCCCATAGGGAGCTCCACCGAAGGCTCCAATGGGAGGGTCCACGTGTGGGTCCCCCCGGGCAGGTGAAGGGAGAAACGCGCATTCCTGCAAAAACGTCCTCACTTCTGAGGCTCCGTGGGAGGCTTCTTTGGGGGTCCGGCGGGACGGCCAGGATTCGGGCCTGACCCCGGGCCTGTCTATAGAAAACGCTTCCACTCTCGCACTCGTCGCAGGCCCCGCGCGAGGCTTCTTGGAGGGCTCGGCGGGGCGGCCACGGGAGGCCAAAGCGCACGGCCACCTCGGGGACTCGTTCCCCAGGCCTGCCCTGGGGGAGCACTTCCCTGCGCGAGCTCGTCGTCACTCTTCGGGCCCCGCGCGAGTCTTCTTCGAGGGCTCGGCGGGAGGGCCGGGGGAGTCAAATTCAAGTGGCACAGCAGCGTAGCGGACCGCTCTCTGGCCCGTCAAGGGAGGAGCTCCCGTTTCTGCAACTGTCTTCACCGTTGCAGGCCCCTCGAAGCAGAGGGGGGGTATCCCGAGGTGGTGTTAGGGAGCAAACCCAGCTAGATGCACACATGTCCCTCATACACGGGCCGTTTTGAGCGATGTTCCTTTGACCCCACTTCTGACCCTACCCGACCTTTACGTCCCCCCGAGCCTCGCGTGGAGGCTTCTTGAGGGCCCAGCGGGACGGCCATTGGAGGCCAACTCGCACAGCAACGTTAGGGGCCGCCCCCCCCACCAAGGCCTGCCTAGGGAAGGATTTTCTGCTCGAGCACTCTTCACTTCTGAGGTCCGGCGCGTGAGGCTTCTTCGAGAGCCTCACGCGGGGCGGCCAGGTCAGGGGCGACGATGTGGGGGGGGTGAGCACAGGGGGGACCCATCGACCCCAAATCGCCCACTGATCGCCGACGGGGGTCTGATAGCCCCACCCCGCGCAGGAGCGTGCGGATTCGCTATCGGGGGCTTGTCGCCGATCTGCGGCGATAGATCGTCGATTCCAGGTCGATGTCCCCCCCCCCCCATGCCAGCCCCACCCCCTCATCGTTGCCCCTCGCCAGTGGACCCCCCCCCATGGCGGCCAGGGCACACCCCTGGGCGTCGCGTAATGGGGGGGGGGGGGGGCGATGCATGGGGGGGGCAGCGAGAGCTGCACAAAACAAACCGTTCTAAGGCCCCGGAAGGCGCTCTTTAGGGCCCAAGAGGGGGCCTCCAGGGCCCGAGGAGTACACCCCGCTCCCCCCCCCCTTCCCCCAGCTAAGCGACGCCCAGCCCCCCCATAGATTTAGACTTCGAGAGAAAACTTGTTGCTCTCTCGGGGGCCCGCGCGGGGTTCTTCGCTTGTCTTTCCCCCCCTCTTTCATCGCCCCCCCATTGAAGCGGCGCCCAGCCCCCCCATAGCTCTCGGCCTCGAGAGGAACCGGCGCAGGGGTTCTCCTGTGGCGGGCCCTTGCGCGGGGTGTTTCGCTGCGTGGCGGACCCGGTGGGACGGCCAGAGATATCGCAGGGCAGCTCTGGGGGACCGCCCCCCAGGCCGGCAAACGACCGTCCCAGACAGCCCATTCTTATGTCGCCGCCTTTCTGCGCTTCAGTCGGCGGCGAGCGAGGCGGGGAAGTGAGCAGGGGCGGGGGCGATCTCAGAAGGTTCGGAAGTCCCCCAGCCTTCTAAGAAGTGTCCTGGGCCTTCCTCGAAGACAGAGGAAACTCCTCAGAAGGCGCGAGGGCTCCTAAGAAGTCCCGCCGCCTTCCGAGGAGGCCTTCTCCTTCTCACTTCCCCCTTCGCTCGCCGATTCGAGAGTCGAGGGGTTTTCCCTCTTCCCTCCTCCCTCAGGGGACGGGCGGAAGTCCAATCTACCTCCAACGCCGTCTTGCTTCGTGTTTCTGCCCACTTCTTCCGACCGACGGGTGCAGTCGAAGCCGATGGTACGGATGGGTAGCCCACCCAGGGGGCTCCCTCCCAGACATGATCGCGTCGGGCCCATCCAGGTCCGCCCGATCGCCGAACGCGATGCGATAGTGGCGCCTTGCGCGCTTGTGTTTGGTCCCCCCGCGGCTCCCAAAGTGCCGCCCACCAAAGGTCACTCTTACTCAGGGTCACACTTGCGCGTAGCCGACATGATCGCGTCGAAGAAAAAGTTGATGACGGATGTTTTTCTCCGATTTCGGCCGCTGTAGGCCCTCGATGGGCCCCGGGACCGTCCAGAAACGATTCAGGATGAAAAGTTGGTCCCGGGGAATGGGTCGGGATTGCGGGGACGCCGAGCTGAACAAATCATTTGGACGTCGCATGTCTGGGGTTCGACTGTCTCGTTTTGACGCCGTCGTGCTGGTGAAGGAGGAAGACGAGGAGGGGGAACAGAAAAGGGAAGGAGGTGTGGCGGCACGCGGGCAAGTAGGCGGAGGAGCAGAAGGGCGAACAGGAGGCGGAGCGGGGGGAGCGGGCGAAATAGGCAGGAGACGAGGAGGAGAAGGAGGGGGCGGACGACGACGACGACGACGACGACGGCGACGACAACGACGACGAGAAGGCACAAAAGGAGGACGAGCAGGAGGAGGGTGGGGAACAAGAGACACTGAAGGAGGAAGGAGAAGGAGCAGACAGCTCGACGCTCCAGGGAGTCAGCTTGATCAAACTGGTTTCTGCCCTCGTGGTGGGCGCTACAGTTTAAGATGTGTGTATTCAATGTTCGAGTCGGACGTGCGCCTCCAAGGGAGGCGGATCGTTGGAGGTTGTGCGGGGTGAGATCGAAGTGGAACGGAGACGCCCCACCAGCAAATCGGTCTCGGTTTCGTGTTTGTGCCGCTCGTGTGGGCAAGGCGAAGCAGCGTGCGCGGGCGAGAGGAATGATCTTGCCGTTGCCAGGGCGAGGTCGGAGCAAAAGACTATCCTCCCACCCGGTTGTTGGTTCAGAACCCGCGGTTGTTGATGGTTGTCCCGATGGTTGCCCCGATGGTGGATTGGCTGATTGAAAGTGAGATAGATGGGTAGTGGGGCCGATTGGTGTGTATGTATGTATGTATGTGTATATCTATGTATGTGTACCTAGACACATAAAGTGCGTAAACATGATATTGGTTAACTCATCTGAGATTGACATTGATGTATATGTATATATAGATATGAATAGGGGGCGATTGATTCCTGCTGTACCTTGTGAGATCGATCTACACATCTATGTATGTACTACTACTAGATACCGACAAATCGAGAGTGAGATAGGCAGACGGGTCGTGGGATCGATAGATAGACCGATACAGGTGGCTCAATGGATGTAGACGGTTATCCCGAGGATTGCCCCGTCGTTGTTCCCCGCCCCCCTTCCCATCATCCTTGTCGGCCTTCGGGCTTCTACTGGTAGGTCCTTCTGCGTCCTATGGTAGTCGGGGGGGGGGGACGGTGCGCAGAGGTGCGCGCGTGGAAATGGCTTTGGTTTCGAGGCACGACCCTGCGACCCCGCGGCGGAGGTCCACATTGAAAGGCGCCCGTGCCGACCGTGGTGGCCAGGACGCCTCGGGGCGATGTTGGGCTCGGGGTGGTCGCAGGGTCGTGCGAAAGTCGGCGGGGCTTCTCTGGAGGCCTCTGGGCTTCGGGGGGATTCCGTTCGGGCGTCGGAGGAGGCCCGCGAAGCTTTCCCGAAGGCCGGAGGCCTTCTCAGCCTTCGGAGGAGGCTGGCCCCCTCTGCCTTCCCCCCGGGCACTCCGCCGAGGGGGAAGCCACCAGCCAGAACCAAGGACATTGGCAAGCACCCGTGCCCACATACGCGGGGGGGGGGCAGGAGAAGCCTGCGTGGCTCGTGTCCACAAGCACCGTGGATTTGTTCGACACGGTTGACGCGATGATGAAGTTCAGCGAGGCTGACCGGAAGTTGCCTATTCTGATCGATTCCTGGCGAGAAGGTGGGAGAGGGTATGACGCGAACCATTCGATGTATGCCAAGTCCGAGTACCTTGAGCACCCGGTATACATGCCCTTGCCAGAATGGTGACGTTCGAAAACCAGGCCGACAAACAGTTGCCTTGCGCTGTTGATGCTTGCGATTTTCCGGCTGATAGGCGTGGCCTTGTCTGCTCCACTGATGGTCGATCCGTGAGGGGAAATCTGCAGATGCCTGCGAGGTGGCACGGTCCTCCCTGTCTTCCCACTCTGCCCAAACTCAGCATCCTTCACTGCCAGGCTGGACCCGTCGGAGGTTATTCGATCGAAGACGCCTACGGCGAACCACCGCCCCCCCGTGCCTTTTGGAAGCGCCCATGTTGCGAAAGGTTGGGCCGAAGTCCTGCCACGCTATTGGGCTACGTGTTTTTGTTCTCCCTTCCTCCGTCGAGCAGCATCCGCCTGCCCTGGGTTCCTGAAAGGCTCTCTGACCACAGTACAGTTGTGCAAACTGTATTCCGCGAGCGTCCGGCGTCCGACTCCAGCAGGATCCAGAGACATTCTCGGGTAAATTGCGCCCTGTGCGCACACAGGCGCACGCCTACAGGCGTCCTGAGATCCGAGCACGAAGTAAGCTCAGATTCCACCATGTTGGTGTTCCACATTGTCACACGCCCACAGATTTTGCAGGTCTGAGAACAACCCAGCCCAGCCGTTGTGGAAACCCTTGGGGGAACATTTGCGGGAGGACGAGGGGAGAGGAGGAGAGGGAGGAGAAGGAGGAGCAGGGGGAAAAGGAGGCCTCTTGGGGGCCTCTTGGGGTCTCAAGGGGGTGTCTTGGGGAGCTCTTGGGGGCCTCTTGGGGCCTCTTGGGGGGCTCTTTGGGCCCTCCTGGGAGCGTCTGGGGGCCTCTGAGGTGCGTCTCAGCCTGCGGAGGCCGCCTTGCGGGTCCCCCTGGGTCTTCTTGGGGCTCTTTTTGGGCCCTTCGGGGCCGTCTTGGAGTTCTGTGGCGCTGTCTAGGAGCCCTCTTGGAGCCGTCTTGGGGGCCTCTTGGGCAGTCTTGGGGCCTTTTGGCCCGCCTTGGCGTCTTCTTGGGGTTTGCGAGACAGCTAACACTATTGAAACACCTGCGCGGCATGTTACTCAGCTTGGACCCCAAACAGTGCGTGATTATACTGTGGAGGTGAAAGCTATGCGGTGTACGGTATGTGGTGAAAGCCATGTCGTGCAAGCTATATGGTGTGACCTATAGAGGTGAAACATATGTTGCGCAAGATGTGTGGTCCATGCTATGGTGTCTCAGCTATGTTCTGTGAACTGCAGGCTGAATGCATGGGTGCAAGCAATGTGGCGTAAAGTATCGTGCCCAGTTCATAGGGTGTAAACAATGTGCGGCGCCCGAAAGGCGCCCACGCGGCGGCACGGGCGGCAAACGTGGCGCCACCCCGGCACACCCGCAAAGCGCGGGGCGGTGAAATCTGTGCGGTGCAGGCTGTGTGGTGTAACCCGTGCGGCGTGGATGGGGGGTAGAAGCTATGGGGTGCAAGCTGTGTGATGCAAGCTATGTGCTGTCAGCTATGTGTCGCGCCCACGAGGCGGCACGGGCGACAGCGTGGCGCAACCTCAGTATACCCCCCCCCCACGGGCGGGGTGCCCACGAGGCGGTGAAAATTGCGCGGTGCAAGTTGTGTGGTGTAGGCTGCGGTGGGAGCACGACGGCGACGACGCCGACGACGATGGGTCACGACGACGACGACGACGCCGACGGCGCCGACGTCGACCGCGCGGCCGCCGCCGCCGACGACGACGACGACGGCGCCGAACGACTATCCCGAAAACTCTGGGGTAGAAGCTTTGGGGTGTGAGCCCTGTGATGCAAGCTACGTGCTGCAAGCTATGTGTTGCGCCCACGGGGCGCCCACGAGGCAGCACGGTGGCACCGCGGCGCAACCTCGGCATGCCCCCCGAGCGCGGGGGGGGGGGCACGTGGCGCCCACCAAGCGTCACGGGTGGCAACGTGTTGCTGTTTCGGCATATTCCTCAAGCGCGGGGCGCCCAGCAGGCGCCCAGGAGGCGGCACACGTTGGAAGGGACCTCTCAAGGTTTCGTCAGGCCTGCACAGTGCCAATAAGAGCAAGAACGCAGCTGAGCACAGGAGGGCGTGCAGGCAGCTACGGAGATCGGACATGCAGCAGCAGCGCCCAGGTGGCGGCACGGGCGGCAACGTGTCACAAACTCGGCATACCCCTCGAGCGCGGGACGCCCACGAGGCGACACGGGCGGCGACGCGGCGCAATTTCGGCATACAGCCCAAGCGCGTCATGCGCAGTTGGCGCTTAGGAGGCGGCACGGGCCCGCAACATGGCGATCACCTAGGGTATCCAGCGCATTATTTAATGGAGATGGGCAAGAACCCTCAAGTGCAAGCACTGTCAGGGGAAATCAATAATTTGGGCATCCTGGAGGTCCTCTTGGAGCCCTCTCGAGTCGTCCTGGGGGGCTCTTGCTAGCATCTTGGACAGTCTGGTCACGTCTTGGAGTCATCATGTGCCAGCTTGGTGCCATCTTGGGGCCGTCTTGACCGTCTTGGAGGCCATGCTGGACCATCTTAGCCGTCTCCGATGCTATTTTGATGCCACCTTGGACGAGAAGGTTGATGAGATGAGGTTCTGCTTGGGTGGTCGGTGGATGACGGCCATTTGGGAACCATTAAAAAGGTTCAAAGAGTACAGCACCCTTGTGACAAACACAGAGGCGGCAGACGCCTACGGCGAATCACCGCCACCCGCTGCCTTCTGGGATACGCCTATGTGGCCAAAGGTTTGGACACAGTTTGGCCACGCTGTTGGACCGTGTGTTCCACCAGCCGTTGTGGAAGCCCTTCTAAGAACACGCGGGGGAGGAAGAGGAGGATGAGGAGATGGAGGAAAAAGGCTGACGAGAAGAAGGATGAGGAGACTCTTGGGAGCTTCTTGGGTCAGTCTTGGGGCCTCGTGGAAGCTGCCTTGGGGCCTGTTGGAGGCCTCTTGGGGGCCTCCTTAGGCCTCTCGACGAGAGCCTTCGGGGGCTCCTTGGGAGCCTCGTTGGCCGTGTTACGGCGTTCCTAGCCCGTCGGAAGCAGTTTGGGGAACCTCTCTGGGCCGTTTTGGGAGCCACTCTGGGCCGTTTTGGGGCCCTCTTCGGGCGCTGCAGGGCCGTCTTGACAGCCATCTTCGGCGTCTTGGAGGCCTCTAGGGCCGCCTTGGGGCCCGTTGGGAGCCGTATTTGGAACCTCTTGGGCCGTCCTGGGGCCATCTTGGAGGACTCTTTGGCGATCTTGCTGCAACCTTGGGAGCCTCTTGGGCCGTCGGAATGCCGGAAAGAAGCACATGCCAAACTCTGAAAGAGCGCGCCCGTCGCGACCGGAATAAGAAGAGGGGGGCCCCAGCTTCAAGCTACCCCCTCCCCCCTCCTTCCAAAAGGGGGGGGAGCTTCCGAAGCTACCCCCCCTCCCTTTCGTCAGGCTTTCCAAGCTGGGGGGGATCTGGCTCAAGGGGGGGGGCGCTTCGAAGCTACCCCCCCCCCCTCCACCCCTTTTTGGAGCAGAAGGTGAGCCCGGGCTTACCTTTCAAGGGGGGGGGGCTTCGGAAGCTACCTCCCCTCCTGCCTTTTTTGGTTTGGACACAGGGGGGGGGCGGCTTCAAGCAATCCCCCCCCTTGTGCAAAGGTGGGGGGGGGTCCGAAGCTACCTCCCCCCCTCCCTTCGGGGGCTCTGGCAAAATGGCGGAATCCCTGACGACAGGTTCGCACCGCAGCGCTAGAGAACGAATTGGAGAAAAACGTCGACCCCTGGTTCGTTTTCTTGTTTTCTTGTTTGCTCGGCCCCTGGTTCGTAGTCTCGTTTTCTCGGGCCCTGCTTCGTTTTCTTGTGTTCTCGTTTTCTTGTTTTTCTCGTTGCCTCGTTTTCTCGGCCCCTGGGTCGCGGTCTCGTTTTCTCTGATCCTGGTTCGCGTTCTCGTTTTCTCGTTTTCTCGGCCCCTGGGTCGTGGTCCAGTTTTCTCGGACCCTGCTTCGTTGTCTCGTTTTCTCGGCCCTTGGGTCGTGGTTTTGTTTTCTCGGACGTTGGTTAGTCTATTCGTTTTCTCGTTGTCTCGGCCCCCGCGTGGTGGTCGTGTATTCTCTGACCCTGCTTCGTTTTCTCGTTTCTTCATTTTCTCGGCTCCTGGGTCGTGGTCTCGCTTTCTCGAACCAAGCGTTTTCTGGTGATCTCGGCCCCTGGGTCGTGGTTTCCTCTGACCCTGGTTCTGTTTGTCCTTTTCTCGCTTGCTCGGCCCCTGGGTCGTGGGTTGTTTTCGCGTTTTCTCATTTCCTCGGCTCCTGGGTCGTGGTCTCGTTTTCTCGGGGCCTGGTTCGTTTTCTCGTTTTTTCTTTTTTATTTTTCTAGGCCCCTGGGTCGTGGTTTCGTTCTCTCTGTTCCGGCTCGTTTTTCGTGTTCTTGTTTTTGCGGCCTCTGGTTCGTAGTCTCTTTTTCTCGGGCCCTGATTCCGTTTATCGTTTTCTCGTTTTCTCGGCCCCTGGGTCGTGGTCTCGTTTGCTCGGACTTTGGTTTGGTTTCTCGTTTTCTCGTGTTCTCGGCCCTTGGGTCGTGGTCTCGTTTTCTCGGACCCTGGTTCGTTGTTTTGTTTTCTCGCTTTCTCGGCTTTTGTTTTTTTTGTGTTGTTTGTTCGGGCCCTGGTTCGTGATCTCGTTTTCTTGTTTTCTCGGCCCTGGGTCGTGGTGTCAATTTTCCTCGGACCCTTGTTAATTTCCTTGTTTTCTCGTGTTCTCGGCCCCTGGGTCGTGGTCTCGTTTTCTCTGGCCCTGGTTCGTGTTTTGTTTTCTCGGCCCCTGGGTCGTGGTCTCCTTTTTCTCTGACCCTGGTTCGTTTTCGCGTTTTCTCCGTATCTCGGCCCCTGGATTGTGGTTTTGTTTTCTCTGACCCTGGTTTCTTTTCTCGTTTTCTCGTTTTCTCGGCCCCTGGGTCGTGGTCTCGTTTTCTCGGGCCCCGGTTAGTTTTCTCGTTTTTCCTTTGTCTCGGCCCTTGGGTTGTTGTCTCGTTTTCTCGGCCCCGGATCCGTTGTCTTGTTTTCTTGT